AGGTGTGTGCCAGGGTTATATTCTTTCATCATATTTACTCAATCTGTATGTTGAGCAAATAATCTGAGCAACTGGATTATATAAAGAAAAACATGGCATCAGGATTGGAGGAAGAGTCATTAACAACCTGTGATATGCCGATGATACAACCTCATTTGCTGAAAGCGAAGAGGACTTAAAATACTTATTAGTGAAGATCAAAGACCACAGCCTTCAGTATGGGTTGCACCTCAATGTAAAGAAAACAAAAATCCTCACCACTGGACAAATATACAACATCCATATAAGTGGAGAAAAGATTGAAGTTGTCACATACTTCATTTTGCTTGAATCAACCATGAATACTCATGGAAGCAGCAGTCAAGAAATCAATGACTTATTAGCATTTGGCAAATCTGCTGCACAAGACCTCTTTAAAGTGTTGAGCAAAGATGTCAGTTTGAGAACTAAGGTGCACCCAACCCAAGCCATAGTATTTTCAATAACCTCATATGCATGTGAAAATTGGACAGTGAAGTAATACCATAGAAGAATTGATGCATTTGAGTTATGGTGTTGGAGGAAAATATTAAAACTACCATGGACTGCTAAAAGAACAAACCAATGTGTGTTGGAAGAAGTATAGCCAGAAAGCTCTTTGGAAGCCAGGATGGCCAGACTTTGTCTCTCATACTTTGAACATATTATCAGGAAGGAGCAGTCCCTGGAGAAGGATATCATGTTTGGTAAAGTGGAGGGTCAGAGACAAAGAGGAAGACCCTCAACGAGATGAATTGACACCGTGAATGGGAATGGACTCAAATATAGCTATGACTGTGAGGTTGGCCCAGGATTGGGCAGTGTTTCGGTCTGTTTTGCATAAGATCACTATGAGACAGTACCAACTCAGTGACACCTAACAACAATAACAGCCTTTAGATTACAATGGAGGAAATTTAAGCTCACAGCCACTAATTACCTTGCTCAAGAACTAACAGCTAATAATTACTGAAGATTGAAATGAAGTCCTTTCTCAAGGAAAGAAAATTAAAATAATACAGCCATCATTATAGCTTGCACCTCAATGTTAAGAAAACAAACAGTTCTCACAACCAGATCAATAATAACATCATGGTAAATGAAAAAAGACTGAAATTGTCTAGGATTTCATATTGCTTGGATCTACAATCAACACTCATGGAAGCAGCAGTCAATAAATCAAATGATTTATATTGCCGTCAAAGACCTCTTTAATGTGTTAATGATCAGGAGTGTCAGTTTGAGGACTAAGGTGTGCCTGACCCAAGTCATGGTATTTTAAATCACCTCATATGCATGTGAAAGCTGGACAATGTATACAGAAGACTGGAGAAGAATCAATGCATTTGAATTGTGGTATTGTCGAAGAATATTGAGAATCTCATGGACTGTCAGAAGAAAGAACAAATTTGTCTTGGAAGAAATATGGCAGATTACTTCTTAGAAGGGACAATAGCAAGATTTCAGCTTTCATACTTTGAGCATGTTATAACTGGAGGGACCAATTCCTGGGGAAATTAGAGGGTCAGCAAAAAAGAGGAAGACCCTCAATGAGATGGACTGGCACAGTGGCAACAACAAGGGGCTCAAGCTTAACAATCGTGACAATGGTGCAGGACCAGACAGTGTTTAGTTCTCTTCTGCATAGGGTTGCTCTGAGTCAGAACTGACTCAATGGCTCCTAACAAAACAAAACATCTTGCTCTGATTTAGGGGTTTTCTTCTCCACAAAACCAAATTCTCACTTTAAAGTAATCCCTGATTATAATCACTCTACCAGAGGTTTTCCTTTCATTGAAAGTTTCAAATCCTTTATCTTCTGTGAGAAACCAGGTGTACTAAATCTGAGTGGATATCTGAGACCATCTTCTGACCTGATACCAATGTGATTGCTGTAGAGGGGGAAGGCAGCACTCCTCAACCATGATAAGATTGGCCTATGGCTCATCTTCTAGATGGGGATCTTCAAAAGACTCGTGGAAAAATTGTATTCTCTTCTCCATTGGAACATATTCCAATTCAACCAATTATATTCAGAGGGCCAAGGGAAGTGTGTAAGGGAAAGTATTGAAACAAAACAAAACAAAACAAACACACTCAAAATCGATCACCTTTTCAGGATTATTTGTGAAGACTTGTAAAGTGAGGATCAGGCAAGAAAAGGGCTGCTTTGTGAGCTTAAGTGCCTAAATCTTGTGTACCTATTACTTTTAAGAAAATAGTTTTAAGTGTAAGCTGAAGGAAATACTTGGAGTTTTACCTGGGCTAGCGGAGTCCTGTTGTCGCACTGTGGGATAAGCACTTAAGGCTGGTGGCACAAAATCACCAGCTGCTCCTCAGAAACCCGGAGTCACTATGAGTTGGAAACCACTTGATGGCGTTTGTTTAACAACATCAGCAAGTGAGAGTTGGTGCAGCTCTCCACGTGTGTTTGAATAGGAGGCGAGAAGACCATCCACGAGAGAGGAAGTGTGAAAAATAGGAATCTGTGGGTTTAAAAACAAAACAAAAAAATTAATTCAAGTTTTCTTTTTATAACAGATAAAACTCTACTTAATTAACTAAAGCAGCCATTTATTTCTACATTAATACAAACAAAAATTTACTAAGTCCATTAGAATAAATTGAGAGCATTTCCAGTATTTCTGTATCTTTGTATATTAATTTCTTAGCATTGTCTAAGATGTAAGGGAGTTCTTCTTTGCTAATGTCCCCATCTTCCCAAGTCAATGCCAATGAGACCACTTGTCAAGGCAAACTTTGTTTAGAAGCTGATAAAATAAAGATTTGAGTTTGGGAAATAGAATGTGATTTAAAAAAAAAAAAAAAAAAGGAAGGGAAATCCATTCTCTTCCAATCTCACTTTGCCATAAATTTTTGAAGAGCTCTCCTTCTTTCTCATTCCCCTGCTATTTATAAGTCTCATTATACCTAATTACTTTGAGCCATGTGATTGTTCTGGAATCCAAATAGCCTCCCTGTATGCACATAAAAGAACAGTTCAGAGTAAACATAGCGATCAAATTCCACTGAGTTCCATGATGAGTTTTTTAACACCGTTAATAACAAAATCCATCCTTCACATGAAGACTTTATATTCAATGATACAATGAAAGAATCTGGAATCTTCCCTAATGACCAAGTGTTATGACTGAGGTAGAGCTGGACATTCAATTTGTGAACATCGATGTCTGGTTCTAAAATGACTTGAGCACATTCCCCATTAAATCATAAATGATGCCTTACACCATTTCCTTGTGTGAGATCCTCCTTTTGGAATAAGTTTCCTGCATTAATAGGGCACTACTTTGAAAACAACAGCATTCAGATGCACCTAGGGTGTATTGGTCCATGTGTACCATTGACTTACAGTCAGAACTGCAATACTGGGAACAATAGCTTCCAAGTCAAGTAGATCAAAAGTGGGACTCCAAATCTCTTGTTCCACTTGGCTGACTTTGGATGAGTTGCTTACTGGCCTTTAGCTTTAGTTTCGTCACATGTAGCAAAGAGACATGGAAAATGCAGTTCTCCATGGGAGAAGCAGGGAGCACACTCCTGCTCCCAGCTGTATACGCCCTTCCTTTCCACCTGTGACTCATGTACCTATGAATCCCCCTAGCCAGCCCTCCTCCTCATGCTCCTGGTATGTAATCACTGCTTCATCCATTCCTGGAATGCAATCTAATTCAGAAAGAGCGTGGAAACAAAAGGTTCCTTTACTATCCTGGTGGCTTTTCAGGTCAGTTGGTTAAGAGAGGACACAGAAGGATAATTCCAGAGATTTGCTATGATTTGGGGCCCTTTGTTTTCAGTTGGCCTGTGAATTGGTTCTTTGTCCTTTTTCAGTTTAACGTCCAAACAGGCTCCACATGAAAAAGCATTCACCACCATTCTTAGCAAATGGTTCTTCCTGGAAACCCCTGTTTCATAAGAGTTTCGATGTCACTGAAATTGTTTACTGAAATTTCCTTTCTACCTTTTTTATTGTTCATTTCTCAGAGTTGGACTCTGTTTAATATCTGCTGGTAATAACATTTTGGATAATGTTGTACTAGTTTTTACTGTGTTTGGTTTCTTCTTTAAACACATCTCTCTAATTAGTTGTATCAGATGGTCCTGCCCTCCGAAGTTCATGGGGAAGACTAATTTTATCGCTCTCGTGGAGAATGGCTCTGTAATTGGAGATTTTGAGTTTGCGTTCTTTGGGGTGTATTTGTGAGGATTCCATAGCCGAACACAGAGGCTACCTCCATATGCTTTGTCTGGGTGTCCCACGGGTCTCTCTGTGTAGACATGCCTTGCCTTCAAGCTAAAACTATACTCATATTCCACTACATTTATAGCTAACCACCCCAATAACTATGCGAAGGCAGGACACAGCTCATGAATCCTTAAAGGCAGCTTTTATTCATTATGTGCGTATATCCACAGCACCTTGGAAACAAAGCCCGGCAATCTACTTCTGAACAATCTGCCATTTCAGACCCTAAGGAGCACAGTTCTTTCTCCTCTAACACACTTGGGGGCTGGCATGAATCAAAGTCAACTTGACCTCTGGTTTGCTTGTTTTCCTTACCCTAGGCAAAGGCAGATCAGTCTTCTTAATACCTGTTTCTATTCCTTTGCTGAGGTTGTAACTCAAGCACCATCAAGCTGCACCCCATGGATCAGACAGTGTCTTCTGCCTGTTTCTGTTTCACCTACATACTCATTTTTACATTTTCAAACAACTAAAGAAATTCAAAAGAAGATGCTTTTATGACATGTGAAAATTAAATGAAATTTACATTTTAGTGTCCATAAATAAATGAAGATTTGTTGGAACACAGCTGTGCCGGTTCACAAATGATGAAGGTGGGATGATGTGCCTTAAAGATGGAAAGGGGCCAGCTCCTCCTTGTAGCTTACACAGAAATACGACCTCACATCTAAATGAGCAGTCCATTCCTATTTTAATTACTTGTCTGTTTGCTTCTTAGGGCCCTATTGGACCACCAGGAGAGAAGGGACCAATGGTATTGTATGATTTAAATTAAGGGTTGAGCTTCTAGGGGGATCATTCTGCTCAAATCAAAGTGATTTTAAATGGGATGGCCCCCATTGCACCTGCAGAAACTACAGAGTTGATGTATGTTTTGTTGTGCCTTGTGTCAACAACAGAAGTAAAATAAATGAAATGTAACCAAAAAGAAAAAGATAGGAGGGGCCCAAAAGTAAAGTAGTACCTGAAAAGTCCTGACATGAACCAGTGTGGGTGCTCCAGGATGTAGGTTCAATGTGTGGGGTGATAATAAAGGGGGAGGCAGTGGTATCATCTGTCTATCTCCTGTGCTCAGTTTACGGCTGGGCAAATGGAGACTGGCCTTGATCTGTGGCGTGTCTTCATCACAGATGATAGCTTAATGACTTTTGTCACACAAATGCTGGGGAAATGTGTTGGGTTCCTGTCCCCTCCACTCCAGCCCTGTGGCGGTGAACACACGAGGGTTTATTCTCAGTTCGTAAGATGAACATGACCATGCTCGGGGTCATTGTGGAGATTAGGGGGAATGGCTAAATGCAGACCTAGCTTACTGTACCCTGCAGAAGTTACCGTCTTTACAAGTGGGGGCTTGAGGTGACCCCGTAGGTATCAGACCCTTTGGTGCCATTTTCCCAGCGGCGTGTGCTCAGTTTGTGCTTCAGTGTCACATTTGGGCTCACAATATCTCAAGTACTCACAATATCTCATACTGCATAGACCCCAGCAGAGTGTCAGCCTCACTAGATGCACAGGAAAACCAAAACATACATGTCACTCGCTTTGCTGAGACAGTCACTTTATCATGATGCTTTGGAACAGAACCCCCATTGTCTCCAAGGTCTCCCTGGAACAGGTTGTTTTAAGAGGATCGGTAATGATATTATGTGTACTTGTGTGTATCAGGACAATGGGGAGCCCTGCCAGCTCACTCCCCTGCAGGAGGGGCTGTGAATGTCACTGTCATGATACCAGTCTTCCTGTCACATGTATTTATTCCAAATGCTGCTCATTCATGTAACCCTTGAAGTAAGGAGGAAAGGGATTCTAATGCCCATTTTCATAGATGAGGAGGCTGAGGCTCAGAGCACTTGATAGATAGGCCTGAAAGTCAGGGAATGTCAGATCAGGGTGGATTCTAAACATCGGGGTGGTGTGAAGGGGATGCGATGTCCTTGGATCCCAGGGAGGCTGAGTTAAACTAAGCTGACACCTGTCAGGACAGAGAGCAGATCCCCACCTGCAGATGTGTTGAAGGAGAGTCACAGAGCAGACACCCAGTGGCTTCATGAGGGTTGGTGTTACCCACTGTGATCACCCCAACTCCTGCTGACCCCACCCCATGCCTCCCTGCAGCTGCTCTTTGCTCCCATTGGTCAAGATGAGATCCTCCTCTCTACCCATTGTGGGGTACTGTAGTCCACACACCCGCACGCTGACTGGCCGTGTTGGGGGTGGCCATGGGGCGAGGTGACAAGTGATCCCAGTGGGTGAGAGATGTTACCAATCCAATGAGGGCACTGCCTGGATGGCCCCTCCCCTGCACACCAGCCAACCTGCTGTCAGAATCCAGGATTTGCTTTAGTGTTCACACCTGGGGTCTGCACCCTCCATACCCCACCCTCCCCTGATAACACCACTGAAGGCATTTGTGGCATTTCCTGGTGTTATTTTCACCAGAATGGGAAGGATTTCTTATAAAAATCAGTAAATGCTTTGCTTGCAACACTGAGCACAAGTTGAGGTATTTAGCATCTCAACAATCCCAGAAGCTTGTTATCCAGGGGATGTGGTCCTGGGGACTTAGGTGCTGGCCAGGCTGGTCCTACTGCAGTGGTGCCACTTTCACTGAGCACAGGACCAGGCAGGGGCTGGCAGCTTGGGGTTGTCCATCATTTTGCACAGAGTGCAGTGAGAGGAGCAAGCCCAGAGCAGGGTGTTGGTCCCTGTCTTTAGGGCGTCACAGTCCTCTATGGGGTATTTCCACTGGAGTGGCTGAAAACCTTCTGTTCTTACTCCTCAGGGATCTCGAGGCTTACCTGGGTTCCCAGGGCCCCAGGGACCAGCTGGGCAGGACGTAAGTACACAGTAGCCATACCAGTTCAGTTGGGGTGCTAGGGACACCCCTGCAGCACACCCCCACAATAGGACTGGTCACCCCTAAACCCCCTTGAATGTTTGGCCAGAGACCCCAGTATGATCTTCTGGGCTCCATCCATCCCTGCCTCTTCACTATCAGCATTTTTCACTCGTTTGTTCCTTTATCTATTTAGCTAGCCAGCTGGTCTGCTGACCATGGTTTATAGCATTGTATCATTGAGTTTCTTAAGCTTTTATGTTTTGCTCTCAGAGCTTCCTAAACGCCTGGGTACCCCATGGACTGTCTCCTGTTTTATGTCAATTTTTTTACCTATCTAGTGCCAAGTTAATGTCTTCTTTATTCCTTTCCTTTTTTTCTTAGGGTGTGCCAGGAAATCCAGGAGAAAGGGGCCCTCCTGGCAAACCAGTAGGTCATCTTACTTTCCTGGATGAATGTTGATTCCACAGTTACAGTAGATTATAGTGAAAGGATGCTGTTTCATGGTTACAGTTTATTACAGTGAATGATGTGCATTAAAGGGGAAAGGTGCAGAGGGTGGAGTCCAAGAGAGACCCCAAACAAGCTTCCTATTATCCTAATACCTTCAGTGGGATTTTACAGGTAGCAGGTAGTTCTCTCAGCCATGATGTGTGAAAACCTACGTGAAATATTGCTAACCAGGGTCCCTCTCCTGAGTCTTGGTATCTAGCCTTCTGGACGGGTTGGTCATGTGGGCATGGAACAGTACATGAAATACTTGAGCCCCTTCAGAGGTCAGACTGCCTGCTGATGCCCGAGGCCCCCAGTCGAAAGCATATTGTTGTCATAACTTTGTGGTGAGCCTCCAGGTGAACAGAGATACTCTTCTGAGGTGGGCTATTCCAATAGTTGAGAGACTACCTCCCAGGAACAGGGAAAGGAGCAACCCTTTCTTTGGAATGAGCAGGCTGGGGAGCACCTGGCCTGCTAAGTTCATCCCTTCATGCCCCTTGATGGTTCCATGAGCAAAGAGAAGGGCAGGAAGGGTCTCTCCCATGCTTCAGGCCCCTAAAGACATAGCATCTCTCTCCTGGGAAGCCTGGCTCAGGGGAGCTGCCCTAGAAGCAGAGTCTGCAGCAGAGACCAAGTGCTCTCAGGTGAAACCTGCAAGAGATTGAAAGCAGCAGCATTCATGACAAGGACAAAAGCAAGTATGGAGTGTGAGTGGACTAGGAGGGGCAGTCCTTTCTTGTGTCCACATTGGTTGGTCATGGGTCATTGGCTGCCCCCAGCAGGGGGGTGTAGCCTCCCTCATGTTTCGGTCAGGTGAGAGGGATGTAGGCAGGACACCGTCTTCTACACCCCAACTCTTCCAGTCATCTGTTCTCCTTAACCTTTGAACCGAAGGCATGACCTGCCACATGTAAGGATATGGCCACTTACCATGCCTGCCATGGCCACCTTCCTGAGGCCAATGCCCTGTACAGACCTGCTCCTTGTGTATCATCTGCAGAGCCATAAAAATTACACAAGTAGCTCAGAACAAGACACTAAACAAATTAGCTCCAAGGCTAAGCTGTATCTAGACTGAAAATCCGCTCCTAGGTTGCTCACCATTTGTGACTATTACCTAGCCATGCAATCTGATATAATTGTTGGTGCTGGGTGTCATTGAGTTGATATAGAGTGTACTCTAATGATCCAAAAGGCTCCAACGACAGCATTCAATTATCCCAATTGAGTACCGTGAGCAGTATAAAAGGAATCAATTTAAATGATATGAAATCCCCATTTTTAGTAATGTTCCAAGGAAAAAAATAGAAGACTTCAAAATGAACACCACTTCTCTTTTCTAAATGAAAGTTTTGATAACTGGGTGTTGTAGAGGTTGGTCTTTCTTTGGAGGGTCTCACTCAGATGTGGTGATGGGGGAGGTTCTTTGTCTTGCTTGTAGCAGCTGCAACCTAAGTGGATTCATGCTGAGGAGCAAGTTCTACAGCATCTCCTAATCTGAGTTAATCTCATCACATTCGCAAAAAAGACTCAAGAGTATCAACACAGCAGTCAACACAAAGACAACCCCACCAGTTTGTGGTTCTCCTATGTAAAATGATGTCGTATGGCTTTTGCTAGAATGTGGTAAAACCATATTTGGATCCTGGAAGAGGACGGGATAGATAGAAAAAAAAAATTGTCTTGGTTTAAGCCTTTGCTAGATGCTAGACTGGATTCATAATTCATAAAACTAAACTCAGCGAGTAGAAATCACCCATGACAAGTTTAATGATCATCAGAAACATTCTGTGTTCTAGAGAAAAATCTAGCACCGTCCCCTCTAAATTTTCTGGTACTCCTTTTCCATGGCACAATCTACGAGTTTCCAAAATGGCATCCAATTTCCAGTTCCTATCTAAGATCCCTCCATCCCTTTACCTATCTGCCTTTTAAATTTCATTTTATTTCCTAGTCTTGTAGTCCTTGCACCCCAATAGGATCTCAGTCTCCAACACACCTTAGACTCTGCTCTGACCACTATTTCAACTCATAATGGCCTTGAATGTGAACGCAATCACCACAGATGTCTCTCAGCTATTAGAAGCTTTCTGATTACTCTTGATTTCTGAAATACCTTTTCCAAAGTGTGAAGCTTCCACCCATGACCGATGAGGTGCAAAATGCCATTTCACCTGGGAGAGCTGAAGACATTGATTGACATTCGTATCGGGCTGTGGATGACTGATAGTGACAACAGTCATCTATCTGAAAGATTCACAAACAGTCCAGATTCCAGACATCTACTCTTTTCTGTACCCATATGTCCTATCAGTGAGGAGAACACCAGGAAAAGCCAATGAGGGAGACTAGGGACCACAAAGAACTGACAAGTCAGGCATGGCTAACATTGGCCAACTGTGCAATATGGCCTCTTGCAACAGTCTTTGTGGCTCTCAGGCCATTAATTCGGTGAAGCGGTTTGTGTCCATACACACAGCACAGATGAAGTACAAGTTAGGGCTCACAGTGTGTCATCCTTTCAGATTCTGAAGATGCATGTGTGTCTGTATGTATGCATTTATTCGTTTTTTACTTCCACAGGGCACCTCACCACTGCTGTCTCCAGGGGACATCAATCTCTTGGTCAAGGTAAATGCATAAAATACATTTGCATGTGTTTTAAAAGTTGTGGTGAGGGAATGTAGATCTCTACAATAAATTGGGCTTTGTCTGAACCACTTCATAATGATGATAATAAAAACAGCAACATGACTTGAGAACCAATGATGAGACTGTCAGTGAGCTACATCCACACTGTCCAATAAGATGACCACTGGCCCCATGTGTCAAGTGAATTCCAATGCCATGCAATTCAAAACTCCAGTCTTTGGAGAAATGGAATGTGTGACCAGTTACCTTCATGAATGACTGTCTCCTTGGCCCAAAGACCAGAAGAATTGTATGGGGCTTGGCTACCATTTCTGCATTTTCATCAAAGATTCTAGAGAAGAATCCTGACTGAAAGGGAAATATACTGAACCGAACTTTCAATTCTCATGGAATCTAAGCTTTGTGTAGCCATGAAATTTGGATGAACCCTTGAAACTACTGCCCTGAGATAATCTTTAAACCTTAAACCAAAAATATTCCCTAAAGATATTTTTATACCAAACGATGATTTAGCTTAATTAGTACATAGTGTCTGCCTTGAGCATTGTTCTCTTATAAAGAACCCGCCTTTCTGGGAGGGGAGTCAAATTGACAACTCAAAAGGGTCAATGGGAACATTAGGAGGAAGTGAGCTATGATAATGGAGGAATAACTTGGAAAAGGAGGTGAGAATGTTTGCACAACTGGAAGAATATCATGAATACCACTAAATTGTGCCTGGAGGAACAGTTGAACTCTGCTGTGCTTTGCTGTGCATACGTTCAACAAAACAAGAAAACCCAGAAAATAAATCAATTTTTTAAATTCATACTAAACTCATGGATACATTTTATTACAGTGAAAAGATGCAAATTAAAGAGAAAAGGTGCAGAGCGTGGAGTCCAAGAGAGAACAGGAACAAACTTCCTATTGTCTTTCCTCAGTGGGATTTTACAGACAGCAATTAGTTCTCTCAGCCATGATGCATGACAACACACATGAAGTATTGCCAACCAGGGTCACTCACCTGAGGCTTAAGTGTACAGGCCTGGTGTTCACTAACTGCAGTTCAAATAGGAACCACATGGGGCAGGTGGTTACCTTTGGAATAGTGCTGGGACAGAACATTGACATGGGTGTAGTAAGTTCTTATGGGCAGTGCTGTGCGAAATGCACTGATGTCATTTCCTCAATGACCCTGTGATGTCAACACTGCTACTCTTCTTGTTTTGTACATAAGGAAACTGAGACATCATGAGGGTAAGGAACTGAGAAATCAAACCACCTAAGCTGGCCTTTCACCATAACTTGGGATGGAACCAAAAGCTGGGTTGGGAGTCTTGCTGGGGCCAAGGGCTAGAGCACAGGTTCAGAGAGCAGAAGACATCTGCTGGGCTCCTTGGAGCAGACTTTTTTGGTTTCCACAATCATGTTCCCTTGCACTGTGAGAAGTTAAGCATGCCCTGGTTGAGATAGAGCAGGGCAGGGCTAGATGAAGAGGAGGAGGTGACTAGGTGCCTGGATGAGGACTTGGTCTTGAAGGGTGTGGAACTGAGAAAGGTGGTGAGCAAGAGGGAGGCTGGAGTAAGATGCGCACCACAGAAAACCACAAACAGAACACATCTTACTGCAATGCTTCCAGACCACGCTTCTACTGCTGCGTCTTCTTTAACCCTTTCAAAACCAAATTATTTTCTGCCTTTACTTTTTGTTGAACCCATGTGTTTTCAGCAATGGAAATTATTTTTTGAAGGAAATGAAAAAAAGTTTTAGGAATGAATGTAGATTTTGATACAATTAGTGAGACATGTATATCCCAAGGGGTCTCTGGAGTTTGAATTGGTGCAATGAGGTAAGTTTCTTTAAATTCGTGTAGTTATACAGCACCACCCCCCAAGATGCACTAAAAGTGGGATAGCAGCTTCCCACTAAATCCCAGAGGGCAGAAAGTGTAGGTGAGCTCTATCGTGAATCATTGAACTAGACTGCTAACTGAAAAGTCAATGGTTCAAAATCATCCAGAGGTGTCTCAAAAGTAAAGCCTGATGATGTACTGCCAAAAAATCAGTCACCAGAAATCCTCTGAAGCACAGTTCTACTCTGATACACTTGAAGTCTTCGTCATAAAGTTGATGAAGCTTGACACTGGATTTTGTGTGATTGCCACTTCCTTTGATTTTGTAATTTAAGAACAATAATTGTGTGATGTTAGGAAATACTGAACTCATGCCCGAAACCCAGGGAAGAAGAAAGATGATGACAAAGACGAAAACCTTTGTGGAAGCCCTGGACTTTTCAACTCACTGCACATTGAGAGGCTGTGATGGAGAATCATACCTTGTATTAAAAGATGTGTCACAGTACCATCTTTGCTGATTTTTATTGACAAGAGAGAGTATTTTTCCATGGCCAAGGGCATGTCAAGAAACCACTATCTATTGATTCAATCCCTTGTTTATTACAGGCTTTTATTAGCCTCCATCATTTTTCATAATCCCATCACTCTTGAAGGGACCAGGTTTGCTTCACTTCTCCCTGCCCTCTAAAGGATTTCAACCTCAAAACAGCGATTTTGATGCCAATAGTTAGGATAGTGAGTCCAGAGAAAGTGACTGCTTGAGCATCTTGGCATAGCATTGAGACAATTATAGTCAAATCCATCTCCCTTCTACTAAAGGACACAGCTGTGCTTACACAAACACCTAGGAACCCCAGAGTGTGTGGGGATACCTGCATGAGGGAGGGGGTGCTGTGGAGGTCCCCCTGGTCCCACAAACATGTGAGATGCACTTTACCTGTAAGCTTAGTAGACATCAGTAAGGGTATTTATAGGTGTGATCCTTGGTGGCACAGTGGATTAAGCTCTGGACTGCTAACCAAAAGATCAGCAGTTCACACTGGCCAGGGGAAAGATGAGGCGGTCAGCTTCCATAAAGACCGATGGCCTCGGGAGCAGTTCTAGTCTGTCTTATAGGGCCACTGTGAGTTTGAATCTACTCCACGGCACTGGGTATGAATTTGGGTTTGTGTTTTGTGCAGTCAGCTGCTGCCAACTAGACATTGCAGGTGAAAAGCTGCTGTCTGGCCCAGGTGCTGACAGTGGGTGCCTCCCCTGCTGAGGGGGCATCTTTTAATATAGAAGATTTACCTCTGCCCCACGGAGTTTTCTAGTTCCCGGCAGCTCATTCTGTTGGTTGGATAACTGCCTCGGTAGGAAGTTGTTCCAGCAGTTCCTGTAAAATGCACTTTGGCAAAGGACATCTCTGTGAGCTGACTCTCTGGCACGACCCTCCCAAAGAGCCCTGTGGGGGGTGGGGGTCCTTTCACCCTCTGACTGCACAGATGTGTATGTAGAGGCATAAAGTGAAGTATCCACTGAGCTGGATACTGGCAAAGACAAAGTCAGACCCAGTATGACCCTTGTGCCTAACCTTTAGGCTAGCTGACTTCATTTTTGTAGGAGACAGACGTCCTACCAAGTGTCTGACAGTAGGGAGGCAGGTAGTGTGTTCCCTGCCAGTCACCAGAGGCTGGGATGTAAACTACACTTCTCTTGGGTAGGGAAAGTGTAGAGAGGATTCAAGAGTATAGGAGTCAGTAGGTGGTGTAAACAGTTAGGCACCTGCCTACTAGCTGAAAGGCTGGCAGTTCAGACCCACTCACAGGTTCTGCAGAAGAAACAACTGGTGATCTGCTTCCAAAAGGTGACATGTTTGACAGTCTTGTGGAGCAGTTCTACTCTGCACACATGGGGTCATCGTAAGTCAGCATCAACTTGACAGCAAATCCCAACCACACACCAGGAGTGAAGGGTTGGGTGAGATGGCATGGTGGTGCTTCCTCCTGAAAACAGTGATGGCCTTCTTCCCTGTGACCTCTTTGTGGCAGACATCTTCTGAGCACTTGTTTGGCACTTCACACCATGCTGAACTTGGCACAGTGAGCTTGGTTTGCTGAAAATGTCTCGGACCAAAGCAAAGTGATAAGCCCATGAGGAAATCAGCATTTCACAAGGGATCCTGCAATATACACCATGCTTCCTAGGTGTGATTTCATTGGTATTTCATGGCAGTTTCCTAAATTTGGAGAATGGTCTTTGTGGACAGGTGAGGATGATTCTGTGGACGGACAGGTGAGAATGGTCCCTGTGTAAAGGTAAGGATGGTCACTGTAGACAGGCGAGGATGGGCCTGTGGACAGGTTAGGAAGTACACTCAAATGGATAAAGTGACTTGTTTGAGATGACCCAGTAAGCCGAGGCGTTTGGAACACGTATTGATAAGCGACATACTGTATTGGGCAAATCTGCTGCAAAAATACCTTTTTAAAGTGTTAAAAAGAAAACTGTGATGATCAAAGTGCATCTGATCCAAGCCACTGTATTTTCAATGGCCTCATATACATGTGAAACTAGAAGAACTATGAAAAAGGAAGACATAAAAATAGATGAATTTGAATTATGATTTTTGGTAAAGAATATTGACTATATCATGGACTTCCAGAAGAATCAGCAAGTCCGTCCTAGAAGAAGCACAGCCAGAATGTACCTTAGAAGCAAGGAGGGGGAGACGTCACTTTGTGTATTTTGGAAATGTTCAACCATTTCTAGAGGTAGCGCACGATCAAGAACTAATGATACTGAATGAAAAAGTCCAAGTTGCATTGAGGGCATTGGTGAAAAACAAGGCTCCAGGAACTGATGGAAAACAAATTGAAATCTTTCAACAAACTGATGCAGCACTGGAGGTGCTCACTCATCACTGCCAAGAAATTTGGAAGACAGATTGGAAGAGATCCATAGTTGTGCCCATTACAAAGAGGTGACCAACATATAGAAGTCTTCAAAAAATATCATTAATACCACATGCAAGTATAATTTAACTGAAGATAATTTTAAAAGCGGCTGCAACAGTACATCAACAGAGAGTTGTCAGAAATTCAAGCCGAATTTAGTAGAGGCTGTGGAACTAGATATCATTGTTGATGTAGGATGGATCTTGGATCTTGTACTTCATTGACTATGCAAAGGCTTTTGACAGTGTGGATTATGAAAAGCTATGGATAAAATTGCAAAAAATTGGGATTCCAAAGCACTTAATTGTGCTAATAAGGAATCTGTACATAGACCAAGAGGTACTTGTTAAAGTAGATCAAGGAGATACTGAATGGTATAAACTCAGAAAAGGTGTGTGTCAGGATTCTATTCTTTCACCATACTTATTCAATCTTTATATAAACAAATAATCCAAGAAACTGGATTATGTGAAGAAAAACATGGCATTATGATTGGAGGAGACTCTGAATAACCTGCAATATGCAAATGATAGAACCTTGCTTGCTTGAAGTGAAGAAGATTTAAAATACTTACTGATGAAGATCAAGGACTATTGTATCTCAATGCAAAGAAAACAAAAATCCTCACAACTGAACCAGTAAATAACATCATGATAAATAGAGAGAAAATATTGAAGTTGTCAAAGATTTCATTTTGCTTCGGTCTACAATCAACACTTAGGCCAACATCAGTCAAGAAATCAAACAACGTATTGCATTAGGCAAATCTGCTGCAGAGGACCTCTTTATAAAGTGTTCAAGAGCAAATATAACCATTTTAAAACTAAGGGGTATTTAACCCAAGCTATGATATTTTCTGTAGCTTCATATGCATGTTAAAGTTGAACAATGAATAAGGAAGATGGTAGAAGAACTTATGTATTTGAGTTGGTGTTGAACAAGAATATTGAGATTACCATGGACCACAAGAATGAATGAATCTGGTTGGAAGAAATACAGCCAGCATGCTCCTTAGAAGTCAGGATGAGACTTTGTCTCTTATACTTCAGATATGTTATTAAGAAGGACAAGTCCCTGGAGAAGGACATTGTACTTGGTGAAGTGGAGGGTCACACACACAAAAAAACAGGAAGACCCTAGCAAGATGGATTGGCACAGTGGTAGCAGCAATGGGCTTAAACATAACAACCATGGTGGGGATAGTGCAGGACCAGGTCGTGTTTATCCAATTGTACATACATTTACTATGAGTCAGAACTGATTGGATGGTACCTAACAATAACAACACCACTTTGGACATGCTATGAGGAGGGGCCAGTCCCTGGAGAAGCACATCATGCTTGGTAAAGTAGAGGGTCATCAAAAAAGAGGAAGACCCTCAAGGAGATGGACTGACACAATGGGTTCAAACATAGAAGAACTTCTAAGGATGGTTTAGGACTGGGTAGCGTTTTCTTCAGCTGTATATAGGCTCAGTATGAGCTAGAACCAACTGGGCAGCATCTAACAACAATCACACTGATGAACATGGGCATCTGACCAGCAAATACAGTAAGGCAACACATTCAAGGAAGAAAATAATGCTCCAAACCCTAATGGTACATGTAGCAGCTTACATCCACCATAGGTTCTTACCACGTTCAGACACTGCATCTATCTTCTGCATCTCTGAGCTCATTGATTTCTCACAAGCCACCACAGGATGACAGATAGGTGAGCTGGCTGTCAGCTTGTCAATTTATTATTCAAATACAACCATTCTATGCTATCCGTCCCCTTGTGAAGAAAGATTCCCAGTGCCTGTCCAAGTTCAGCAGCATCCTAAACCAAAAACCAAGACCCACTGCCATTGAGTCCACTTTGACATGTACCAACTCTCTAGGACAGAGTAGAACTGCTCCATGCAGTTTCTGAAGCTGGAACTTCACAAAGCACACCACCACACCTTTCTCCTGGCTGGTGCATTTCAACCACCAATCTTTCAGTTAGTGGTTACCAGGGATCCTGGAACAACTTACCAGTGGCCAGAATTGCAGCTGTCACTGGACTAGCTCTCTTCTCCATCCATCTATTGTCACAATGTTTCACAGTTGTATCTTTTTAAAAGAAAAGCTCCCACTTCCATTATTCTGCCAAACAAAACAGCAAACAAAAACAATTTCCCCTGCTTATTTTGCGCATCTTTGTTTCATATAAAGAGCATTGGTGTCACAGTGGGTTAAGCATTGAGCTGCTAACCAAAAGATCAGTGGTTCAAACACACCAGCAGCAGTACAGGAGAAAGATGAGGCATTCTGATTCTGTAAAGACGGGCAGCCTCAGCAACCCTGTGGAGCAGTTCTGCTCTATCCTGTAGAGTGTCTCTGAGTTGGAATCGACTCGAGGGCAGTAGCTTTTGGTTGCTTCATATACCCCAGCATTTAGCACTTCTGAACCACTATATCCCCTCAAGAAAAAAAAAATACAACCAGCTTCTCAAATCACCCACTAAAAGAAGCTGGGCAAGACGCCAAATGGTCAGGCAGTTGACTGATTGGCTGGTTAGGTTGCCTGCTTCCTTCTCTTATGGAACATGTGCTCTCTGACAGGCTATTTGCTACACATTGGACATATGGAACTAAAACAATTCACCAAAATTATAATAACAAGGTTTTTTTTTTTTTAAAAAAAAGAAATTTAAAAACAAAAAAAAAGTGAACTCAACTCCATCTCTGTCTTCTGGGAACTCCTCATTCTTTCTCAGTGCCTGGCGGGCAGGTGGATGGAGTTATGAATAAATCTTTTCAACAATGAGACAAGTCCTTCAATGGCGGGCACCCTGGATCCATGGGAACACAGCCTATCTCTTGTCTGAAGCCATCAGGAGGACTTCTTGGAATGGGAGGCTTCTAAAACATCTTCAAAGATACTGTTAGAGGCAGACAAGTAAAGGAAGGTAGCAGCTGTGATAGAAAAGTTCTTTCATCCTGAAATTAGGTTTCTTCCATCCTGAAACCAAGAGTGATGCAGAATCACCCAGAACTTCACCTCATTGCCATATGAAGCCACACACCATCTGCTTTTATGGACACCTCTGTGGAACACTCAAAAGATGGTAGTTCTTCTGTATACTTTGTGTCAGTTGGTACCACTTGATCATGCACTCTTTAAGACTTTGTACTCACTGTGGTCTTACAGCTTAGCACAGGGGCCAAGAATAGACTTACAAGCAAGTGGCTGGATAAGGGATTTAATAGTAATGGCCAAGTGTATCGGGCATTATGTAACTATCTTTATACATGTGCCTTTTTGATATTTTTCCATTTACCCCTGATCACACAGAAAGAGGGAGAGGAGGGAGGGAGGACTGGAGAGAAGGCATGTACCAAGCAATCCAGAGAACAAGATATGAAGTAGGATTGTTTGGTCCCACCACCTTTTTGTCCTTTGTCATACTGTGGTGGTGTGTATGTTGCTGGAAACCATATCACCTCTATTTCAAATACCACCAGGATTATCCATGGAGGCCATGTTTCAACAGAGCATCGAGACTAAGACCAAGAACAAAAGTCTAGTGATGTACTTCCTAAAACCAGCCAGTGAAAGCCCTAGGGATTGATGGCAACAGACTATTTGTATTGTCCAATAGAATTCTGGAAGACAATCTCCCTAGGTTTGAAAACACTCAAACTGCACAAGAACCATGACCATGGGCTCAAGTATAGTATTGATTATAGGGAGGATACAAAACCAGGTTAGTATTTTTGTTCTGTTGTACATGGGATCACCAGGAATCAAAACCAACTCAACAGCAACTCCATGAACAGTGTGTTCTCAATGGTAAGCTCTAGAGATGATAAAGACACATTAGAAAACTTGCTCTCTGGACTGAGAGAGCACTCAGTTCACTCCCAGAACAATACTTACCTGCCACAAAGAAGTAAACCCACATCAAACCCAATGCCATTGAGTCAGTTCAGTTCCACTCTTATCGACCCTGTATGACAGAGTAGAACTGCTCCTACATTGGATAGATTGCAAATCTTTATGGGAGCAGACAGCTTCATCTTTCTCCTGCAGAGAAACTGGTAAGTTTGATCTGCTGACCTTGATGGTAGGAGTCCAGTGCCCATCCCACAGTGCCACCAGGGAGCCTTACAAAGAAGTAGAACAAGCTCAATTCCAGGAAATGTTAATTGAGTAGCTCCTTAGGCTGAAGCTTGCATTGTGTGGCACAGCAGGAATGCCCACAGCTCCTTCCTCTGCTCTTTCTCTGTTGAGAACGTTCTTTACTTAGACAGCCAGAGGACAGAGAACTCAGGTCCCGGCTTTGTCACTAGCTCTAGGGACAGGGCATGCTGTTTTGAGCTCTATTAAATGCTTGCATGAATTCTGCACTGTGAATGTTTTCAGTGCTCACAGACATTGGTATATGGATTTGGGGCAACATTTTCTTGGGCAGTCTGACTGGCCAAAATAGTCCAGGTATATCCGGGCTGGAATGGAACTTTCAATGAGGGTAGTGAAAAGGAGCTCTGGTAGCGTAGTGGTTGCGAATTGGGCTACGAACCTCAAGGTCGGCGGTTCGAAACTACCAGCGGTTCTGCAGGAGAAAGATGAGGCGGTCTGCTCCCATAAAGATTTACAGCCTCGGAAACCCTGCACAGGGTCACTATGTGTCAGAATCGACTCGACAGCACTTAACAACAACAACAACAGTGAAAACACAAAGTGTGACACAAAGGTGTCAGAAGTGAGGTGGCCTCCTATGTGCTTTGCTCTCATTGGATGGCATGGTCCTGTTCAGAGACAGGGAGACAGGAGTGATGAACCAAGCTGTTATTGATATATACTCCCTCTCTATCTCCCAGGATGTGTGCAGTGATTGTCCTCCTGGTCGCCCAGGCCTCCCTGGTCTGCCAGGCTTTAAAGGAGACAAAGGACTCCCAGGAAAACCAGGGAGAGAAGGGCCAGAAGGAAAAAAGGTAAGGAGAAAGGACACTTAGTCTTATCATTGTAATGCAAAGTGTCAAGATCTCAAGATGGAGATGCCAACATAGCCCGCTTCCATCCCAGAGCATTCAGCATTTGAGGGGTTGAAGATACCCAAGGAACACTGGGCTGAGGGCACAATTGTGGAAGTGGTGAGAAATGGCATTGGAGGTAGTTATCATTTTATGAAGACGTTGGCTGTGATATCCCATTGCATTTTGATATCTAAAACACAGTACTTTTTCCTTCCTTCTGCCCTTCATTCTGTCCTTCTTGTCTGTCTTCCTTCCCCCTCCATCCACCCATTTATCTCCATTTTTCTTTCTTTTTTCAACCCAAGAACTTTTGAACATCTACTATGTAACAGACACTAAGAGAGGCAGGCCAGCTTCCCATCCACCCATCCAGTCCCCCCACCCCCATCCATCCATTCAACCACTCACCCATCTATCCATGAGTGCCTCAGTCATTGGCCTGTTTAAGGTGGCACAGTTGTTGTTGCTGTTGTTAAGTGCCGTCGAGTCGGTTCCGACCATAGCGACTCTGTATAGGGTTTCTGGGGAGTAACTGGTGACCTTAAACCACTGCCCTTGCAGTTCAAATGGCTTTGCAGTCTGGGGGCATTAACCCACAGCACCACACCAGGATTCCAAGGTGGCATAGTGGGTGTATATTATATATCAGGCACCGTGAGTCTGTCCTCATGGTGTCCATGGTCTTGTGGTGGAGTGGAGGGTGGAGGTGATAGATAGAAATGCAGATTTGAGATGTCATATTTATTCTGATCTTTAAATAGCTTCACCTCCCCTTTCCATTGACTCAGATACTAACATGGTTTTGGATCAGGGCCTAAGGTAAGGGACTGCAAGTTCTTCCTAACATTCCAGGTCCTAAGGAGATGACACAGAGCAATTCCCAGAGAGATCTGACTAAGGCTACTTTCTTTTCCACCACTCGTCGGTCAGTTTGTCCAACTGTGGTGACTTGTGACTGCTGGGATTATGAAAGCTATGCCACAGGTATTTTAAATACCAGCAGGGTCAGCCATGGTGGACGGGTCTCAGATGAGCTTCCAGATGAAGACAGACTAGGAAGAAGGAGTGACGAACTACTTCTGGATACTAAGTCACTGAAAACCTTATGAATGGAAGAGAAACACTGTCAGTTATAGTGCCGGAAAATGAGCCCTCAGGTTGGAAGGCGCTGAAAATGCGACTGGGAAAGAATTGCCTCCTCAAACTAGAGTTGACCATGATGACACATAAATAAAGTCTGTCAGAGTAAAGCCCACTGGACCTTCATTTGCTGATGGGGCACAACTCAAAATGAAAACAGCTATAAACATCCATTAATAATCAGAACATGGAATGTACAAAGTATGAATCTGGGAAAATTGAAAGTTGTCAAAAATGAAATGGAACGTATAAACATTGATATCTTAGGCATTAGTGAGCTGAAATGGACTGGTATTGACCATTTTGAATCGGACAACCACATGGTTTACTATACTGGGAATGACTAATTGAAGAGGAATGGTGTTGCATTCATTGTCAAAAAGAACATAATCAGATCAGTCATGAGGTACAATGCTGTCTGTGATAGGAAAATATCCATGCACCTACAGGTAATACCACTATTATTCATACTTATGCACCAACCACTAAAGCCAGTGAGGATGAAATAGAAGAATTCTACCAACTTCTTCAATCTGAAATTGATCAAACATGCAATCAAGATATATTGATCATTACTGGTAATTGGAATGCAAAGGTTGGAGTAAAAAAGGTAGGATTAGTATTTGGAAAATATGGCCTTGGTGATAGAAATTATACTGGAGATTGCATGGTAGAATTCTGTGAAATCAATGATTTGTTCATTTCAAATACCTTCTTTAGACAGTGTAAGAGACAGCATACACTTGGACCTCACCAGATAGAATACACAGAAATCAGATTGTCTACATCTGTGGAAAGAGAGGATGGAAAATCTCCATATCATCAATCAGAACAAGGCCAGGGGCAGTTTGTGGAACAGACCATCAATTGCTCATATGCAAATTCAAACTGAAACTTAAGAAAATGAAAACAAGTCCACCAGAGCCAAAATATGACCTTGAATATAACTCACTTGAATTTAGAGATCTTCTGAAGAACAGATTTGATGCATTAAGCACTAAAGACCGAAGACCAGATAAGTTGTGGGATGACATCAAGAACATCATACAGGAATAAAGCAGAAAGTCATTAAGAAGACAAAAAGAAGGAAAAGAGCAAAATGGATGTCAGAAGAGACACTGAAACTTGCTTTCCAGTGTAGAGATGCTAAAGCAATTGGAAGAAATGAGGAGGTCCAATAGCTGAAAAGAAAATTTCAAAGGTCAGTTCGAGCAGATAAAGTCAAATATCAAAACAAAAAGTACAAAGACCTGGAGTCAGAAAACCAAAAAGGAAGAACACGCTCAGCATTTCTCAAGCTGGGGGAACTGAAGAAAAAATTCAGGCCTCGACTTTTGTTATTGAAAGATTCTCTGGGCAGATAGTTGAATGATGCAGAAAGCATCAAAAGAAGATGGAAGGAATACACAGAGTCACTGTACCAAAAGGAAATGGTTGATGTTCAACCATTTCAAGAGGTAGCATGTGATCAAGAGTCAATATACTGAATGAAGAAGTCCAAGGTGTATTGAGGAATTAGCGAATAACAAGGCACCAGAAATTGATGGAATAAAAATTGAAATCTTTCAAGAAAGTGAGGTGGCACTGAAGGCACTCACGTATCTCTGTCAAGAAATTTGGAAGACAACAACCTGGCCGACTGACTGGAAGTGATCCATATTTGTGCCCATAACAAAGAGAGGTTACCCAACGGAATGCGGAAATCATCAGACAATATCTTTGGTAGGCAATGCGAGTAAAGCTTTACTAAAGGTAATACAGAAACGGCTGCAAGCATACATTCACAGAGAACTTTCAGAGGTTCAAACCAGATTCAGAAGAGGTGTAGAACAAGGGATATCATTGCTGATGTCCAATGGATCTTGGCTGAAAGCTGGATCTTGGCTGAAAGCAAAAAAATCCCAGAAAGAGGTTTACCTGTGCTTTATTGACTACGCAAGGGCTTTCGATTGTGTGGATCATGACAAGCTATGGACAACATTGTGAAGTGTGAATATTGGTGAACACTTAATTGTGCTCATGAGGAATCTGTACATTGACCAAGAGGAAGTTGTTTGAACAGAACATAGGAACACTGAATGGTTTAAAATTAAGAAAGGTATGTGACAGGATTGTATTCTTTCACCATATGTATTCAACCTGTATGCTGAGCAAATAATCCAAGAAGCTGGGTGGTATGAAGAAAAACATGGTATCAGGATTGGAGGAAGACTCACTAACAACCTGTGATATGCAGATGATACAACCTTGCTTGCTGAAAGTGAAGAGGATTTAAAATGTTTA